AACAAAAAATAAGACCCTGGTTGTAGCTGTAGTAAAATTAATAGTAAAATTAATATGGTTTTTAAGTAAAGTTATTTAAAGTTAATAAATAGAACAATAAAATAGCAAACCATTAATGTTAAAGAAAAAGAAGTGAAACTTCTGGCATTATGTAAGTGCACACATGTGAAAAACATATCGTCATTACTCTACATAAGAATATGAAAGCAACACTTATTTACTGTTCAAATATGTTTTTAATTGATGTTTCTGATTTTTTAGAATTAATGTTTGTGTGTGCAAATAGACAATACAATTCATTAATAATTGTGGAATATTAAAACACGAGAGGCGAACTGACTGCTGGCATTGTTTTCTATGTTTACAAAACCAGTGACTGATTGGTTCTACATATAAAACAAGAAAATAAGACCCTGGTTGTAGCTGTAGTAAAATTAATGTAAAATTAATATGGTTGTTTGAAGTAATGTTATTTAATGTTAATAAATGGAACAATATAAGTAGCTAACCGCAAATGTCAAAAAAGTGAGACTGCATATGTAAGTTAGCTGCGTAAAAACATATCGTCATTACTCTACATAAGAATATAAAAGCAACATTTATTTACTGTTCATATATATTGAAGGGTTAAATGTTGTACTGTACTCTATATAGACAAGCAGAGAAAGAGAGGAAACCCGAACTGCGGATGTAAACAAACCTTAATTTCCGCGGCTTTGTTTTTTTAGGTTAGCCCACCGGGCACAGGTCACGACCCACATTGGGCCTAAGGGAAAAATGCAATTCTCCAGTAATAATAATAATAATAATAATTCAGATAAAAAAAAAAAAAAAGCCTGCTTATCTTCCTATTGGACAAACTAAAATCGTTCTGGACCACAGGAGTTTCCGGACCACAGAATGCCGGACTAGAGAGGTACAACCTGTGCCCTATACTGTATAATAGATGAAATTTTTTATTGCATGAGGAATGCCAAAGCTAGCTTCATGCTGTATGGCACTAAGGAGGCTGCATCAGCTGACACAGTTACAGTGGAAAAAGTAAAGGAAGAATTGACAAAATTATAGAGGAGGGTGCAAGAAACCCCCAAAATAATTTTTGGTTTAATCAGATGTCCAGAAAAAACACAAATAATAATTGTTTATTTATTTAAGACTCTGCAGGGAAAGGTGAAGTTGCTGAATCAGTTAAGGGAGGGAATGTCTTTTGCTGCTGTGGGGCGACTGTACAACGTGAACGAAAGCACTGTACGTACCATCAAGAAAAGGAAAAAAAGATATCTGTGATGGGCTGGTGCCAGTGCTCACGCTGATTACTAAGCATACCAGCCAAGTGAGGGGAAGGCAATATGGTGAAGATGGAGAATGCCTTGTTTCACCATGGATAGAGGACCCTTTACTGGAAGGTGTAGGGTACTCTCCTTATCCAGGAAAGCTAAGTCTCTACACACACGCTTCACGCCTGCAGCTGAGAACCATTACCCCAGTACCAGTGCTGCTACCCCACACCTGGGAGCACCTCCGACACCTTTCCAAGCCAGCAAGGGGTGGTTTGACAATTTCAAGCGTCGATTTGGCCTGAAGAATGTGAAGATGACTGGGAGGCTCGTCCAGCGAACACCATGGCTGCAAAGCTTTCCCAGCTGGGGAGTTGAAAGCAATACTCGAGAGCAGGGTTACAACCAGAACAAGTTTGGAGAAATGGGCCGAAACAGGTTAGACAATAATTTAGTACTGTGCATTTAGCCTTAAAATGCTCAAATACCTGTTGTACTATGCATTACTGTATTGCGTTGTAAGAAAACAGGATAAATCGTCTAGAGTTTTTTATACAGTAGCTTTTTATATTTTTATTCGTAGTGATTTACCATACAATTATTAACAGCAATATTTTATATTTTTATACCAATTTTGATACATATATGTATAATAGTACAGGGTGTACTATTTTCTTTCTAACAGAGTTTGTTCTGCAAAAAACGCCTAGCGCACTTTCATCGCGCCAGAAACGCCGTGCACCAGGATTGAAGGCAGCCAAGACAGGTGCACTGTGCTATTTTGTGGCAATGCTGGGTCACCTATTTAGCCCATTCATATACAAGTCTAAGAAACGCGTGCATTCCAACACAGCGACATGAGCATGCTGCCTGTTTTTCTGGATGCACAATAAGAAGCCTGGACAACGGCGGCCTGTTTCTCAACTGGTTCCACCATTGTTTCCTGCCAGAAGTTGAAGCGTTACCTGCAGAAAGGATTTGAGTTCAGATCCTGCTAATCCTCGACAATGCTCTGGTCATCCACAGTCAGTGGAAGTGCTGCATGAAAAAATACAGGTGTTGTTCCTTCACCCAACACCACTACTTATCAGCCAATGGACCGGGGGATATAAAGGCGTTCAAGGCTAACTACGATAGCGTGTGTTGGCTGAATGCCTCAGCCTTCGACCATAGTCAAAACCTGGATGGGCTTCAGTACTGGAAGAGCTTCAGCATTGCAGGCTGCTTATCTGTGGTGGCTGGATCATCTTTCAGGATGTGAAGCCTGGACAGTGAATACCTGCTGGAAATCACTGTGGCCTGAATATGTGAAGATTTCACTGGATTTTCTCCTGGCGAAGCCGCCATGAGCTGGCGGTGAGAAAAGACCCTGGCTGTCAAGGAGAGTGGCTGGGGAAGCCGAGGACATGGCAGAGAGGACAAGATTAGGAGCTAATTGAAGGAAGCCGCGACACTATGGGCTGACCGGGGAGGATCTACAGGGGTTAATAAACTCAGGCAAGGAAGAGGAAGAGGAAATAAAGAAGAGGAAAGGAGAGACACCAGAAATAGCATTGGGAAGTTGGGGAGATGACCAGAATATTGAGGCACTGAAAAACCTGGCCTATAGTATGGACCCCTCCATGAAAGTGCGTGCCCTGAAATTCATCTCACGAGGATGGATGACGTTTTTGCTCCATACAAAAAACATCATGGAAGAAATGAAAAGAAAAGGCGACAACTCATCATCACCATGTTCTTTGATCACCGAAGGAGATTTGCACCATCAATCACTGGAGGCAGTGAGGAAGCAGCTAAATCACCGTGGCCCCTTCACCACCGTTATGGAATTAGTCGGCGATGACCCCGATGACCCCGTCCTGTCGCTACGAGGATAGGTACAGTACAGTAAAATTGAAATTTTTATCTCTTTTTTTTTAGTAGCTTTTCTTGCCATGTTTATTGTTGTAAAAATGCACAGCACAGTACAGTTCAGTACTGTACATAGGAAGTGGAGGTGCAGTTATTCACAAAACATTGTGTTTGTTGTCGGCAGTAGTGGCCCCGGTGAGGAGGTGGAGGAGGGCGGAGGAGGCGAGTTGGGAGGTGGTGACCTTGGGCGGGAGCAGGGGCCAGTGGAGATGCCAGCTAGTACATTACAGGTGTACAGTGATAAGGTGTTCTTATAGCTATTTTTTGCATTTTAATATGAAATACTGTACATTCGTTTCAACAAAACTTCCATTTATTTCAGAGAACATGGAAATGTAATATTTTTGCTGAAATGATGTCTATTACAGTGGAAAGTGGGATAAAAATTGTAGTAGCTTAATGACTTTTCTTTTTCTTTTCGTTCAAAAAATGTTACGTAATTGCTTTTGAATGGTTTTCAGATGTGGAATTATAAGGCTAATGATAGAGATAGAATATTATTATGTGCAATGCATATACAACAGTTTTTTAACTGAAAACCATTCAGCGACTCTGTTTGAATAATGAAAAGTCATTGTTTTGGTCATGATTTATCATTCCGGCAAATATTACATTCTGAGAATCATTATATTCAATTCAGTCACAGTTAAGGTAAAAATATGCTTGTGATGTAATATTTTAAAAAAGAAATCTGATGTCGAAGTTTCTTTTGTTCAAATTTAATTAACAAGAATTGATGTTTCAAATGTAAATAGACAAAAATTTATGTACAGTTCTATAAATACACTTTAATAAATGAATGCTATGTTTTACGCGTAAATTCCTGTGCTCTCGCCTGTAGTTTGCTTGGCTACTTTGGGCTTGCTATGATGGCCTTAAGAGATCTGCCTAGCAACTGTGCCGACCTCACAGCTGGTGGTGCATTAGTTATCATCGTTCCATTGTTTACTGGTAGTTACTGGTAAATATTTTTCAACCCTACTGGGGCGGGAGCAGGCAGGAGGCGAATCTAAAAATAGCGTCGAGCCAGACACTCTGTCGCGTATATGGGTAGATGAACCGCGGAAAGTGAAATTTCGTTCTGGGAGCGTAAATGAGAAATCGTGCGGAAAGTGAAACCCAGAGGTAATACTATGTGTGTGTATATATATATATATATATATATATATATATATATATATATATATATATATATATATATATATATATATATATATATATATATATATATATATATATATATATATATATATATATATATATATATATATATATATATATATATATATATATATATATATATATATATATATATAGAGAGAGAAACTTGGTCACAAGTTTCGTGATGCCATACAATAGCAGGGTCTACCATTAGACAATACATTATGCTATGATCTATGTGAGATTAGTAAAGACTTAACCCTACTGTTTGTCCCATATTTTTGTGAATTTCTAGTGATGCAATTTGTACATAAAATTAATTAGTTTGATTACATTTTCTATACAGTACAGTACTATACATCCAGGATCATAAATAAGTGTACATAAAAAGAGTAAAAACTTAGAAAAATGTTAAATGCATGCTATTAAACCAAACTAATTTTTCCATTTGACTGTAAAGAATTTCAATCATTATTATTAGCCACATCACTAAGGGTGTAGGAACTAAACTCACACTTTATCAGGGTTCCATTGTATATTTTTGCAAAACAATACTAAATTGGTTACTTCTGTGGCCACTAATTCAGTTATCACCAAAATATCACCCATGGGTATAACAGCACCTTAAAGTATTGACAAAATTGCACTTACCCATTCACAAAAGAATGCTCTGAAGTGTGTGAGAGGCATGGAAGGATGCAGCAGACCAGACCCAAGTTGTTCCACTCCATCATATGAATGCATTAAATTCATCACCAAGCAACACTGTGGACTATATTAATAAAAGCTATATTACAAAAATAAAATACAGTACAGGTATTTCATTAGCTTTTAACATTATTTTTTTCTTAAAAAATAAAAAAATAAATGAATTTCACTTGACAGAATGATATCTGGTGTAGGCAACAACCTTTTAATTTCTACTCACAATACCTGTAACGGATGTGCAAAATATCAATTTACCCCTGTGAGAACTCACAGGAACTAAGATTACAATACAATTCTGACGATACAGTAAATGTGCAGACCATCCTAAAATGGAGCCCATAGTGTAAAATCAGGTGAATCACGGGCTCACTCATGTCATTATTCCCAATTTATGTACAAAGGATTGAAATATGAAACCTCATTTAACGACTAATGGAAATTTCAAATTATCCGAGAGATTATCTACCCATACCACCCCCTACCTGAGCCTACTTTATGCAAGGGGCTTTCTACATTCTGAGGCAACTCAACTGGCCATTCTTTAAGTTGTCAAACAGTAAATAGCCACCTGTTCAGTCAAAACCAGCGATTGTTTCAAAGGCCAGTAAGACCATGGGCACACTGGGACAAGCCCTGAACAAGCTTACTCAACTCGTAAACTTTGAATTCACACAAAGCATCGCACATCTTCCCTTTTGGTGCCAAGCTGTTAATATGTGTTGCCTTTGTACTATAGATGTATTGTTTGCATTTTACTGCACTTAGGGAAATTAGGGATAATAGTTTGTTACATTTTAGTATTTTCACAAGTTTGACAGAGTTAACTTTGCCACACAGTCACTTGGACTTATACATTCTAATTATAAGGTGAGTGATGTATGATGAAGTTTTTAACACTATCACTCAATGTGCAAGTTTGCAAATTTTTTTAATGAACTTAAATTAGTAGAAGACTGATGGTGTGCTATCAGTGAGACCAACCTGTCTTAACTTGTGACTTAAGTCATTGAAGCATTATGCATAAAGTCTCTAAATATTATTATAAATACAGTAGGCAAGGGATTCCAACATCCTCATTCATTTCAGTAAACTAACCAATTCAAATGTATATTCTCAGCTTAAGAAGATCAGGTTCTTGGCCTAAATATAACAGGTTCTTGGCCTACCTAGGAGAGGCTTTCAGCCCGACTATCACAGGTTCTCAGCCATTCTACAACAAATTCTCAACCTGTGACAGCTTCTTGGCCCAACTATGATAGATTCTCACTATAACAGATTCTCTGCCTATGACAAGTTCATAACTAATTATAGAGGTTCTGGAGCATAAGTATAAATTCCAACTTAACAAACCCAACCTGACCTTGAGCAACTATTATGTCCTCGGGCCATGGGACTCGACAGCACGGTATGTGTGCACACAGTAACTCTTGAGCAAGTGACCTACTGTACATGGGCCAGTCAGCTAAACAACCTGCTTCATTGAAAGAGCTCATGTGATGCTACAGAGCATCTCATTTTAATTGATTTTAATTACTTTTATGTGTTGTTGGGCAAAATTAATTTATTAAAAATTATAAATTCCTCAAACATAATCAAAAGAATAGTTAATAATTACAATAAACCCCCGATATAAAAGAGATTAATTGGGGGGAAAGCCGGTCCGTTAAATCCAGATTCGGAATAATACCAGACTCGGTCTATTATATACCATTATACCTGTAGACTGAAGTGACCATGATCATTTTAATGGATTTGAAGGGCAGTTCATTTGCACAGTTGAGCCCTAAACATGGTTAGGCCCCCACCCCCCGCCAGACTAAAAAAATTATATAACAAGCTTCTAATACAATTACATGCGAGGGTTGTGTATTACCACCACTATCATTCTATTCCTGCTTGTTTAGTGATCAACTATAATACCTGCCAGGCATATAACTCAATTGAAAGTCTGTCTGTCTGCCTGGGGTGTGGAGTGGTAGTGTTAAGTCTAGGTTCATGTGAGCTGAGCTGAGTGGCTTGGTCACATGTGCCCTATTACCTTGTTTACAAATATTTATGGCACTCGATACACTTGGAATTTTGGTATTTATAATAAATACAAGCATCCAGTATATTGTTTTCATGCTTGTATGTTTTAAAATACCCAAACTCAGTAGCTGCACCAAGTGCCATAAATATTCATGTACCGGGTAAAAGCAAAGTAAATTTCTCCAATCACAGTCTGTGGTCTGGCCAGCCACCCACTGCAAAGTTGTCACATTTTTTATTTTACAGCACAGTGCTTATATCTACCAACTAAATCTATAAAATAGTGAGATTAAAAATTAAAAACTTAATACAGTAGATGATAAAAATGATACACGTGTGACTAATGTTAATTTGCCAAGCCAAGAATGAGACCCAAGCGTAAGGGCGGAGTAACGTACATTAAGTCCCCGATATATGCGAATTCACTCATATGTGAAGACCCTATTCCTACCAGGAATTCAATTAATGCGAGCAAAATTCAGCCTTATGCGAGATGCCACACTCCCTGATATGGATTCCAACCCTGATGACTGCAGATGTCACTCCAACACCATCACCAACTATGTAAAACCTCTACCACCACCTCCATCATCTTGTCTACCCATTGATATTGATACAGTTTATTTAGCCAGAAGAACACAGATACAGAGTCGATAAAAATCATAATATTAACATGGCTGAGCCAGTTGAGAGCCTGAGCTCTCTTGAAGGTACCTGATATATACTGTACAGTTATCTCAAGAAAGTACAGTGGTCCCTCGGTTAACGAACGATTCGATTAACAAAATTTCGGTTTACGAATTAGCTCCCATAAGGATCTTCAATTCGGATAACGAACAAAACTTCGATTAACGAAATCCTTATGACAAATACGTTTTGTTGTGAGCTACTGACCTCGCCACGTCAGTCTCATTGTTCTCAGTCACCGTGTATACTGTTCTCTCGTGTCCCCGCTAATCTGTTCAACAATGGCTTCCGCTGGACCCCCACCACCCCAGAAAAACTTTGATTTACCTGGACCAAGCCGCCCCAAGCCCAAGATACGACGAGCCCTAAGTTACGAAGTTAAGTACAAGATCGTGCAAGATTTGGAGAAAGGAACGAGACAAGTTGATTTGGCGCGCCAGCATGGCGTGATCGAATCTATGATCCGGACGATCAAGAAGGATGCCGCCAAGATTAAAGAACACATGAGCATCACAAAGTCTGCAGGAGCTTCAATGGTGAAGTATTGTCAGAATAAGGTGCTGCTCAAGACTGAGAACTTACTGGTGAGCTACTTAATTCGTCAGGCAAGACGTAACATGGCTGTGGACACGCGGGCAGTGCAGGACTAAGCTTGTGAACTGTACTTATCAGTGGAGAGCAAGATGGGAATTGCAGAGCCCAAACCCTTCACTACTTCCTCTGGGTGGCTGCAAGGGTTTAAGAAAAGGAACAAGATCACCAACATTAACATTGTTGGTGAAGGAGCCAGTGCTAACCGTGCTGCCGTCATGGATTTTCCTCCATTCTTACGAGAAGTTATGGAGGAAGGACAGTACACCGACAACCAGGTGTTCAACATGGATGAATCCGGTCTGTTTTGGATAAAATTACCTTCCAAGACCTTCGTTGTCAAGTCTGCCAGCAGGTGTCGGGGCCGGAAATTGCAGAAGAAGCGCATCACCATCCTGTTTACCACCAATGCCTCCGGTACCTGTAAGCTCAAGTTGTTGGTGATCCACACAGCCCACAAGCCGCACGCCTACAAGAACATGGACATGACCAAGATAAATGTCCACTGGCTAACCTCACGTAAGGCGTGGATGTTCACAGGTCTGTCCCTCTCCTGGTTTGAAGACTGTTTCTTTCCTGACGTGAAGAAATTCTGCGCGCAAAATAATGTGCCTTTCAACATTTTGTTGCTGCTTGACAAAGCACCAGGACACTCGCCCCTACTGTTGGATCATCACCCCAGTGTAAAAGTGGTCTTCCTTCCTCCCAAAACTACGTCGTTAATCCAGCCCATGGACCAGGAGTTGATATGCAACGTTAAGGCTGCATTCTCCGCAAAGAAGTTTAAGCTCCTGAATGACTACACCAACACCAAGGATGTTGCATAACCTTCTGAGTGGCACAGATAGGGAGAGCGACGACAATGAAGATCCAGAACAAGAGTTGGCGGGGCATGAAGTGTGAGTTAAACAGTTTTGGAAAATGTTTAACGTAAAGAAAGCTGTTGATTTCTTGGTGGAGGCATGGGGGCAGCTGTCTGTGGCAACGATTCGTCACGCGTGGCAGAATGTGTTGCAAGGTATCCCAGGTGGGAGGCAGAGGCAAACTGTGGCTGGTGAGGCTCAGTCTGTTGCAGTGGTAGTGGACCTTGAAAGAGAAGCTGCACAGAGTTTTACAGCTGCAGGCTTCTCCGAGACCACCAACGACGACATCATGGAGGTAATCAGGGATCCTGAGGTGACTGCCGACGAGATGTTGGAAGATGATGACGTCAGTGAGGAGGCAGGTGGTGTGGCAGGTAGAGAACAGAAGTTAACTCATGGTGATGTAAAGGATGGCATCGAGTTTGCCGAGAACTAAAGCTCACCCTTTCAAAAGACCCTGTCAATCACCGGTATGATGTCTTCAATAACCTTCTAGACCAAATTATGGAGCAGTACATTCAGATGTATCACGACCACATCAACACTAGCCATCAGCGTAGCATCACTGACTTCTTCGCCCGCAACCCACCACAGCCAGCCCATGCCAGTGATAGTGACAGTGATGGTGACTTTGAGGGGTTTGTCAGGGAGGCCCTGACAACTATGGTGGATAGTGATGGTGATTTACCTGCGGGCCAGTAATCTGCCCTCTGCCTCGGAACCAGCCCCCATCCTCGTATGCCGACCCATCTCTTCTACTAACGTAAGTGTTAAGCCTTGATTTTCTTTTACCTGGTACAGTATATTATTCTCTTATTGATATTTCTCTTCTATATTATGTGTGTATGCATACCATCATAAAGTTAAGATACTATTTTTACTACAACGTACGTAT